TAGGGAAAAGATGTTTGATTTGTTTTACATTAATATTTATCTTCATAATGGATAACTGTGTAAGAACGTGATCTGCACCTATGGACTTGGCAACACTGATAAAATCTGTGAGAAAGGCTTATCTAAGGAATGCATCAGTAACAGCCTGGAGTGGGAAACACTAGTTGGGAAGGATTTGGAAAAATACAGAGACACTTAATTAGCAGGATATTCCGAGTGTAGAACAACATGGAAAAAGGAGGTAATGGTTGGGATCCAGCTCAGTGAAAGCCTGGAAGCTGCTGGAGAAATGGAGGAAGCAGTGCCTGTTTGTAATGCACAATTAGAGTAGCTCACATCTCCCCCAGTTATGTTTTGAGGAGATTTAGCAGACACAAAGAAAAGTTGTAGCAATTGAAGCATGAACTGATTAAGGTGTGGAAAACAAGCTCCTGGAAGCAGAGTGATGGTCTAACCTGTGCAAAGCCTTCCTGGTGTTCTCGTGGAAATGTCAAGCTCTGTAGTGATTTGATCCACTGTGTGCACTGGTTCTTAAGTCCTTCAGAAGACAAAAGGCTCTGGAAGCTTCTTCTAGGAGGGAAATTCCACTGTACTGTCATTGTTAAAACCAAGGCTGTGAACTGAAGGCGTGGTCTTGGTGATGGGCAGGAGAAAGGTGTTCCCTGAGTGGGTTTAAACTTTACTAGTGTGCTTATGCAGCAGCTGGAGGAAGTTGGAGAGTGGGGCTGTGCTTGAACTCCTAAGGAAAAGAAATCCTGTTTTTCCAGGTTGGGATTGGTGGGGACAACTTCAGTTCTTGTGGTGACATTATCCGATGGCTAATTTGTATGTGACAAGTGGGATGCCTGTACTGCCTTTCCATTTAAATTGGAATGAAGTCTTTTTGCAGCCAAGTCAGGAAAATTTGAATGTATTCTCTTTGTGGTTTTCAGAGATGATTCCACTCATAGGGGTCTATTTTTCTGTTCTTTAACAGTGTTACACTCTCCTTAGAACTTTCAAGTAGCTGCTTGTGACTTTGAAACGCTACTATTATAGAGCTTAATGGAGACTTAAAATCAAGAACATTGGAAGTGAGTTTCTGTGGCTTAAACTCTTCATTCTGATTTTTTAGATAGCCTTGAACATGTGCACTCTGGACACAAGAGTTCTCTCACAGCCCTCTGGCTGCAGCACAGGCACTCACCTAAACTGCTGTATCATAGATATTTGAGGTGCAGAATTGTTGCCTGTTGACTATAATTATACTCAGGCTTCATGGGGTTAAAACATATCTTTCAGTTTGGGAAACTGCCAACTAGTGTAATGGCTTTGGAGGTAAAATTGCATGAAATTGGCTGACTATTTGCTGGCACCTGTTGTTACAGATCAAGTCAGTCTTACTAATGCTTCTATTGTGCACAGCTCTGGGATGGTAATTGTATAACTGGTCTCAAAAACAGAGTATAAAATATAGTCCAACCAACAGAAATATCAGCCAGATCATTTGGATTTGGTTCCTTAGATGAGCCTTGCACCAACTGCCTATAAAGTCTATGTGAAAATGGGTGAGAAGTTGATGGCTTCTCCTTTAAAGGCTCGAGTGAAGAATTGGTGCCTCTTTTAGTTCTGTACCTCACTAGGGAAGAATTTGTCTCACACTTGTCTGTAAATGTGAGACAAAAGATAATTGGTCACTTATCTTCTGTCAAGGGTGGTTCTGGTCTGAAAAGTTGCTGTGTGAAAAAGAGGCCTAGTTGAACAGATACCTTGTCCTTGTTTTTTGGAGGTGATCTGTTGGCTTTTGTGCAGAATAGTTTATTATTTTGCTAATATTTCATGTTAGTCCTGAGCACCTATTGCACTGTGGCTGTACAGCAGAAATCTTAGCTGGAACTTTGGGCTGTGCTTTCCCTCCTCTCCTCTTCACTTTTCTGGATATAGATACAACAGAGGGTAGAACTTGATCTTTGGAATTTTAATGCAGATTTGCAGGGAAATCAGATTATTGCCCAATATTTGACAGGAAGCTGAGGGAGGATCTATGAAGCTTTAAAGTCAAAGTAAAAAATGTTGCTGCGTAATCCACCGATGAGTGATAGTGAATAATAAACCAGCAGAGATTGATTGCATGGTACTTTGAAGTAGAAAAATTCTGTTTCATCCTGAAATGAGAGCAGGGATTGTAACTGGGGGTTGTGGATTTGGCATCTGTGCCAGGTACATGGTCATGGAACAAAGCTACTCAAGGGATGGAGTTTCCCATTCCTGAAGTTAGGACTGGCTCCTCCCCCTAATCCCAGCTAGTACTTGAGTTTGTTTTTTCCTCAAGGCAGTTTTTCACATTTGTAGCCAAATGTTGACAGTGCAGCCTGAGCCCGTAGGTGCACATGTCCTGCACTGCCAAGTGGTTGGTTCTGCCCAGATAAATCAAGAACTGAAAAGCCATTTCTAAGCAAGTTAGTTTTTAATTTAGATTTTAAGCGATTGAGTTTCATACTTACTGAATGCTAAGTAGTCTGGTCTTCCTGTAGATCTCTCTTTTAAGGAGCTGTGAAATTGTGATGGAGTCATAATCAGTGAATTATATTGTTTTTAGCTTGGAAAGCCTTTCAGATCTAAAACAGCTCCTTAAATCTAGAGATGTTTGGAGGGTAGTAGTTGGCAATTTTTCTCAGAAAATGACAAGCAACTGTAGTGATGTTTGTTCAGCAG